ACACACACACACACACAGCTCTATCCTGCATCACGTCTCGCTGGTTAAAAACAAAAGAGGTCAGTTGATTCAAGATTCAACTGTCGTCTTTATTATTAAACTGCAGACCAGAAATAAAACATAATATCTGTAGATTACAGTGTTTTACTGCCTGTGATGTTCAATACTTTAATGTTTCTTTATGTTTTTCTTCAGTTTTTCATATATTATAATATTATTGTCTGTGTTTATTATTATTAACACATTATTTACAGCTGTAATAACAGAGAAACGCAGCAGATCCTCACATTTGAGACAATGTAATAAATAAATGTTGGTTATTTTTATTTATTAAATAATTTAAGACGAGTGAAATCCGCCAGATTAATGCTTAATCTCCTAAATGATGACTCAGGTATTTAATCAATACGACTAAAAGGACGTCAGACAGTGATCCTCAACATTAATAATATTTATCAGATAAAATGAATTCACATTAAAAAGTTCAGAGCTCATCTTTGATATTGTTGATGTTTAAATGAACTGACTTATTATTCAGGATCCTCTCCGGCCCTTTAAGAAGCTTTATTATTCTATTTTAATGCATAAAAAGTACAAAAATATCGCGTATTTTCATTGTGAATTATTTTATTTTTATTGTGAATTAGTCGACTGTTAGTCGAGCATCACCTCTGTGAAAAGTGAATTAAGCTGCAGGAAAATATTATATAATATTTTGTGAGAGGAAGATAAGAGATATGGTATATTATTATACATATATATATACACATTATATGACCTGATAGGATGGGAAGCTGTGTAAAACAACCCAATAACAATAAATAAAGACAATAAAATAAAACCGGTTGTATTCCTAGAGAGTGTCACCGTCTCCTCCACATTCCTCGTCCTCTCCAGAGATTCCATCACTTTCCCGGCAGCGAGAAGCTCGTTGGAGCTGAAACTCCGATGATGAAATACTTAACGAGCAGATGTGAAATAAGAGCTTCTTCCTCCGGATGTCACAACAAAGCTGCTTCTACACAACTGTGAATATTCCAAAGGTCATGAATCCACGCTGCCATGTATCAACATGAAGAGATCACAGGAAGGAACAGTTTACCAGCGGACTGACTTAATCATTCATAGCACACGCACGGCTATATATCTCACACCGTGTGCCCACAATGCAATGCGTTCTGTGCAGTGATAAAACCATAGAAGGTTGAGTTTGAGACACGTTCTCATGAAACTTTAATGATTCCTGCGGAAAGAAACGAGGTCTGGAGAGAAAAATAAAATATAGATATAAAGCGACAAAATTAATGAAAACATGCTGAATAGAAACAGAGAGAAAGGACCGAAGTATCAGTGAATGAATGAGTGAATGAATGAGAGAATGAGTGAATGAATGATGTGAGGAGTTTTAACAGTCACTAAAAGTCTGTTCAACATCAGAATTGCCCCAGAAGATGTTCTTCCTTTCAATTAAACTAAAATATTCACAACACCTATTAACAAGCATGTTGACATTATTTAAACTACAAAAATGGACGACTAAATGTGACTTCAACTGAAGCCTTCTGGCCACATTCAAAGTCCAAATGCTCGATTTGTCAGAGTTGACTAAAGTTCTGACAGGATCACAACTCGGAGCAACAGGTGTTTCAGGTTAAAGAGTGACCGTGTTAACTGGTGACTTTCAGCAGAATGGTTGCTCGTAGTAACTTACATAAATAGAAGATAGATAATAAAGATATTTAAAATGTCTTTAACGAGGACTCCTTCATGTTCTGTTGGTGTTTTAAACAGCTGTGAGTGTCACCAGGTAACACGGTCACTGGTTAAACCGATACACCGGCTATGGCTGCGAGCTATTAAACGTGTTGACTCCTACTGGACCCATTTTAAAAGTGAATAGAGTCAAATAGAGTCTCTTCATGGTGTCTGACACGGGGTTTATCCACCAGATACATGTTTATATCTGGACTCTAGCTAAAGTATTCTACACACCCAGGTCTGGAAAGTCACTTTGTTGCATTAAGTTGCAGTAAGTTGCACACGTCATCTTGCTTGAATCTGTAAAAGCTTGTGAACGCAGCTTCTCTCGGTCTACATGTACACACAGCAGCAAACCAAAATACAAAAACTAATTTCCTGTCCAGGGTCAGGAGGTCAAAAGTCAAACAGTCGATGTCGTCTGAGAGGTGACAGCAGAGAGAGAGAGAGAAAGAGAGAGAGAGAGAGAGAGAGAGAGAGAGAGAGAAGGAAAAGAGATGAGCTGAAGAAAGAGAGAGGGAGCAAAGTATCAAAATAAAAAGAGAAAGGGAAGTAGCGAGAGGAACATTTTCCAGAGAAGAAGAACCAACAGCGTCAGAGTATTTGTGGCTCATTAATCTGCTGTCGTCAGCCTCAGTATCACCAACATACAACCAGGAAACACACACACACACACACACTCTCTCACACACACACACACACACACACACACACACACACACACGCACTCAGAGCAGAGTGAAGATGTCTGACAGCCTGCAGCTGAGGATGAAAAGCCTCTTAAAGAGAGTGTGATGTGACAGAGAGCTGTGTGACTTAACTACACTTCTGCAGCACTGAAGACAGCAGCTACAACAGACAAGAGGTGAAAATAACACGCGTGGTTTTTAATCTGTATTTATATATTTTAACAGGAACAAAGTCAACGTCTAACAGATTAAAAGTGGTTTTGTAAAATGTCATTTTATGTTTTTAACTTCATGTCAAAAGTGTATTTTCATGCATATTTATATCAAAGTTCACAGCTTTTCCATCAGGTTTTTTGTGTATTTCTTCCTCACTACTTGTTGATTCATGACTCGGCTTGTTTGTTTGTTTGTTTGTGTGTTCTTACTTGCGGCCTCCACCAGCTCCGGGTGCAGACTGTAAGGGATCAGAGGGTCGGGCAGGTCGGCGAAGAAAGCCTTCAAAGCTCCGGCAGCAGCGTTCACCGCCACGTCCATCACCACGAAGTCAATACAGTGATCTACAGAGAGAGAGAGGGAGAGAGAGAAAAGAGACAGAGACAGAGGGAGAGAGAGGAAGAGAGAGAGAGAGGGACAGAGACAGAGAGAGGGAGAGACTTAGCTTTCAATAATAGTTCATATTTATGGCAACAGAATATGTACAATTGTACATATGAGGAGTATAAATAGTTGCACATTACAAACCATAATTAAAACCTTTCTTTAGGCTTCTCATTCGTTATTATGAATATTATTAAATATGCAGCATGAAAATAATCGACGTCACAAACAAACATATTGTGATATTATTTGTGGTCGTATCTTCCGGCGCTAATGTTCGGTCGTAGCCTCCTTCACCTTCTACAACACTGTGTTCATTGACTAAAAGATGGAGACGACTACCCAGAGTGCACCTCTTGCACACTGAAGCCCTTTTAGGACCGCGTTTAAACTCAGACCTGGGTCCGATAATCCACGTTGACCCATTCAGGACTTCACTGGGTCGGCGCTTCAGTTTGAGAAGATATCAAGGAGCTGGTGAGTAGCTCACAGCTGAGCTTTGTGTCTGAGCTGCTCTCTGATCTCAGCTAACAGAGGTTAGCGTCCGTCTGTCCGGAGGCACAGAAGCCCGAGTGTGTCTCTGATGGAGCAGCAGGAGCTGGAACCCAAAACACGTCGGATCAGAACAAGAGCTTTTCTGCTCTGTTGTTCCAGAGAGGGAAAGATGTCGCCATCAGGACGAGTCGCACACATCAAACCCCGAGTAAAAAATATACTGTGTAATGACCAGACGGCAACCTCTGGCTCTGCAGAGTGAAGTCAAAGCTTCATGTGTTAAAGATGCATTCTCTCTAGTGTCCACCAGGGGGCGACTCCTCTGGTTGTATAGAAGTCTATGAGAAAATGACTCTACTTCTCTCTTGATTTATTACCTCAGTAAACATTGTAAACATGAGTTTATGGTCTCAATCTCTAGTTTCAAGTCTTCTTCAATACAGCATGATGTTCATTCAGTACATTATGGTCCATTTAGAGTCAAACAGACCATAAAGCAGGGGATGCTTTAGGGCGGGGCTACACGGTGATTGACAGGTCTCTACAAGAGACACATACGGCGTCTCTACGTCACTCCTCAGTCCATATATGGTCACTTCCTGTTCACTGGTTGGCAAATAACAACATGGTGACGGCCGCAACCTAAGATGGCGACTGCGAAATTGCCAAATTTGAGGCTTCAAAACGTCCAGAAACCAATGAGTGACGTCACGATGACTACGTCCACTTCTGACATACAGTCCGTGGTAATGAATGCTGGTAAAGACCAGAAATAAAAATTAATAAAAATTTCACTTCCTGTTCTGACGCAGTCAAATGGCGACGGGAAGGAGGAGGGGAAAAAAAAAGACGGAGGAAAGGGAGCGAGAAGGAGGACAGAGCCCTGAGGAGACACGACAGCTGTCACACTGAATCTGAAAGACTGCCAGTGCACGCACGCACACGCACACACGCACGCACACACACACACACACACACACACACACACACACACACACACACAC